TTAGTTATTTCGAATTTAGGCATACCAATAGTCATTTACAGAATGCATTTGATTTCAAAGTTATTGATTTTTTTTTCTAGATCTGTGAGGGTTGTTATTATAATATTACGTTTAGCTGTTTAGCCTCGATATGTCCGTATTATATACATGGACGCAAAGAATCTAACAGCGAAGAATTTTATATTTCGTAAGAACATGCAGTATAAAAACACATGCATAGGTGAAAACTTAAATATTCACACCTTTGTTTATCACCTGGTCAATCTGGCATAATTATTGCCACCAACCGTAATGACAGCCGCCTGGGAGTACTTCAATATTCAATGTAGAATTCAAAATCTTTGAGGTTGATAAAATCAATGTAGTAAGACATAATACTAAAAGTTTTTTCCCTGTTTTCAATATATAGTATTTGTAAAATTGGTCATATTGTTTCAGATGAAAGAGGCTTAATGTGTTTTCAGTGCAAGAAGACTTCCTGTTACTAGCATTCACGGTAATAACGCTTGCACATGTGCAACACTTGGCCAAAAAATGAAGTATCTTCACTAATGACAGAAGGCAAACCTTTGTTGGGTTTTTGAATGCTTATGCCCTTTAAGGGACTCCGACCCTCAGCCAGGAAGGACAACTCTTTAATTTATAATTTAATTTAAAAAATCTTTAAATGAAGCTTGAAAATTAAATCTTCTCATGCAACAATTTTCATTACATGCCTCTTAATGTGCTTAAAGGTTCTTTGAACTTCTCTGAAAGGTCTAATTAAAAGTAGAATTTTTTATCCCGAAAAAGCATTTTTAGATACCAATGTTTATTAACATGATATGAAATTAGAAGTGATTTATTTAGCTTTGCAAAGAACCTTGAAGCAGATTTAGAGGCAAAGAATGAAAATTGTTGCATGAAAATATTTTATTTTCAAGCTAAATTTAAAGACTTTTTGAATTAAATTATTAATTAAAGAGTTGTCCTTCCTGGCTGAGGGTCGGAGTCTCTTAAGTTGTGGCCAAGGGTGAAATGTTTTTTTTTTTAAAAAAAATAGGTGAAACTCTAAGGTCAATGTCAAGAGGTCATAAAATGTTGTTACTCAAAGAAAGGTCTTGTCATTAGAGAAAATGAAAAGCCTGGCACAAACTGTTCAAAAATTTAGTCAAGGCTTTGAAAATTTTATATCTGTAGATAAAACTCTAAAGTCAAAGTGATGAGGTAAAAAATGTTGGTACCCTCCAAAAAAGTTTTGTCATGAGAAATAATCATATACAATATAATAGCCTTTTTCTGAGTGATACATACTGACTGCGCTCTCTCTCTCCCTCATGGTCTGGTCCACAAACAGCTTGGTTTTCTTTGGGACGTTGAGGCGAGAGTTCTGAGCGGCGGGGGACCCCCAGACAAATCCTTCTCCTCAAACGTGGCATTCCTCTTCAGAATCTTTATCAACCCGCCACCTATAGAGGAGTAGGAAAAGAGTCAAACAAAAAAAGTCGAAACTTGACGTCAGTGTAGAAAAACAGAAAAAAAATGAATGGCATGTTTTTAAAGGAGAGTTAACATTCCATGGATCATTTCAAGAAGCTATAGCCTAATTAGTGAAGTCTCATTAAAAGATAAATTAATATTTAATCAAAATGTTTAATGGTGTACCTCTTGAGTCAGTTCTGTTGTATCTTTTAAGAGTGAACATTTTACAGTGTTGCCATAGGAGCTTGCATTGCAAACGTTTTTTCTGCCCCATTTGTTTCACTTGTACAGCTTCCATAATCAAAAGCTACACACCTTTCAGGGTCATTATGAGAGTTCCCTCCTCTCGCCCAAACTGTCCGAACTTGAGCCCGGTGACGACGTCGTAGGTCTTGATGACGTTGACGAGGTAGTATTCCTTGTAGAGGTGGACCTGACAGTTATTGAGGGCTACTATCAACGCCTTAACCCTCCACAACTTCTTACCCTAAGTAATAGAATTTTATATGAGATATTCTATAATCTTCTGTTCGCCGTTTATTTAAATTAAAATGTAAAGTATAGAGAGAAATAATATTTTCAGTTCAAACAAAATAAAATTCATTTGAAAGGTTACTTCGTCTTGCTGTAAAGCGCTAAGACTTCCAAGGGATCAGTTCGTGAATTATACAATATACAGTAAAAATTTGGTTTATCCAACACAGATATCTGGAAAAACGAGGATATCTGCATGCTCACTCATCCATTAAATGTAGGTCAGATCCAGCACACGCAGCAAGCCAGGTTGTATGATCCCTTATAGATGTGTCATCCATGTAATCTTGGTCAGCATACGGCTTATAATTACTTGGAAATTGGAAGAAAAAAAAACGACACCGAAAACTGCACCAAAAATTTTAACTTACACCAAAAACAATTCTTCCAGCATCCGAAGAAAGTCTCGTAATATGCATCTGTAAATGTATTATCCATGCAAGATTGATCATCATAGAGCTCACGGTTACTTAGATATGAGACCTACACCAAAAACATTAACAGTTTACTCATCCGGAAAATGTAGGTCAGAACTAGCATCTCAGGCAAGCTTGGTAGTATATATCGTTAGATTACCATCATTGCAAAAATTTTATTCATATCCATAAACATAAACCTGGTCGTTCCTTTGCTGAAATTGCAGCATCTGAAACCTTGACTGTACAAATGAAACACTTTAGAAGCGTCCTCCATGCATGTCTGATGAATGTAAGGATATAAAGGAAGTTTTTAAAAAGAAAACTGCTCCAAAAACCTTAACCTGGGACGCCGACGGTATCACATAGGCTCCCAAACTTGGTTGAGATGAGCTAAAAATCTATAACTGGGGTGGACTCCCGTTCCTTATTGCAAAAAAATGTGCATGTACGTAATTTTCTGGGCTATGTGCTTATAATGGTACAGTACTGATGCACGTCCATGAAGAGGAGTTATAACATTTATATTGTTAATCAACAATGCAAGATAAACCTTCCAAAGAAGCGATACATGTGCATTTATGCATCTTTTATTCAACTTTACCACATTAACAGAATCTCGTCAATATATCAATGACAGTAACTTTTGCTTATCGATACGTGTCAAAATATCTAAATGTCAAAATGAATACCACAGTGAGTTTCTTTTTCCTCCCATGTGTAAGTTTTTTTGGAAAAAAATTCTGCTTAATTTGAAAACAAATATGGGCTTGCTAATAAAGGACATAGTTCGTGCATGTGCCTAAGGGGATTCCGATAGGATTTTTTTGGGGGAAAAATTATATACCGGGGTATTGTCAACCAAACTCGGTCATCATTTTATATGAACATCAGAGTACTTGTGTGTACACCCAAATAAAAGATACCACAGACTCTGACACATCTGTTTTATATTTTACTAGATGAGATAATGATAACATAACAGCAAACCTTTATCATAAACACGATGACTTAAACTCCTGTTCCTTATGTAGAAGTATACCCTTACCATTTCCATCTGGGTTCGATGTTTTCAAGTTGATTCTTTGCTCTACACAATTTCTAATGACACTCAAGACAAGCTATTGACAAACAACAAGGGAAGCTATTGACAAATTGACGAAACAAAAATAACAGCAGTCTTGTTAAAGGTCATCGTAAAACTTGAATAATTTTTATAGTCTACACAATGATCCTTTATGCAAAATTTAATACAATCTATCATTAAGGTAAGACGACACTTTCCTCAAAAATAAATAATATTTCCTAAAAATTCGTCATTGAAGTATACATGCTTAAACAGGTTTCCTCACAAAAATAAGGAAAACTTATCAGGCATTTATTGGACCAGAAACCAAAGGGTCATATTTCTAATATAAACCTTATGTGTAATCTTCTGTAGGGCCTATGTCATGATATAGTTGTATTCAAAAACAACTGCATGAAAACAATGTAGAAATCAGATGAGAATGACGAATATGAATAAGTTTTAATATAGTACAAAGAGATACAAACACACATATTCGAGGAACGTGTTGTTTGACCTAAAGTAATGAGCTGTCTGACGTTTTTATACTAATTGTTAGGCCATTACGTACACACTGAATTGTCAACATATTTTTTTCCCATTAATTGCCTGATCATGACAAAGAGCACGTGGTAGGTGAGGCAGATAAAAGGTTACTTACTCCTCCATGCCACCTGATCCCATCTTTGATGTTTTAGAGGTTCGTTATTGCTCTGCCACCGATTTGTATTGTTTCATTAGACTTTTGAGTTAAATTACCGTTTGTTTTTTTTTCCATATTTTAATTTAACTTGTTTCAAGTTGATACTAAAATATTAATTGAGTACTAAGATCTCTTAATGTCTCTAAAAACAAACAATTTTAAATTGATCCGGTGATCTAGAACATTGGATTTACAAATTTTTTATTTGAATATATCATCCTTTATGCTTCTTTTTGATGCATCTGAAAACACAAACGGAAAAAGTTTCAGAAATTATATCATTCATGTGTGTTTGTTAAGTTCATGCCCACAATTCTTGCAAGTCGAACTAGATCTTAAAACTTTTGTTTTCAGCTAAATTTTAAGGTCAGGAGCCAGCTAGGTCCTTTATTTTTCAGGCTATGTTGAGACTTGATGCATGAGTCAGACTTATTTAACATACACATAAAATGGACAAGAAATAAATGTTAAATTTTAATTTTAATTAGCAAAGGAAAATAGTGTATCAAATCTATTTTACAAAATGAATGCAAAATATGAACAATCTTTACTGACTTCTTATTTATTTATTTTTTGTTGCACAATAGAGTAACAAAAAAAAAATATGGACGGAATACTGAAAAAAAACTATAAAAAAGCCAACAAAAATCATTTGTCTCCACTCAATTCAATAAGGTAAGATTACATTCACCTTTAAAACAATAAATATTACAAATTAAGTATCTCAATATTTTATCATTGCACAGAATGTTAATTAATATTTCCATCATGGAATAAAAATTCAATTTTACAATTCACAAAATACATCACTGACAAAAATTCACATCATAAAGGAAAAATAATCTTGGTGCGGGAGTAGATGTATGACCTTAGTTGACCTTTGTTGACCCCAGACCACAACCAATCCCTCACTGACAGGCATGCTGATGACGCCTGTAATAATAGGAACACTCTTCCCATCCTTTAGAACAAACACCTGTTATAATACAAAAATGTATTAGTTACTAACAAACACACAAAGAAATGATTCATCTTACACTTGAGTAACAGTAACTGAAAGCAATGAAAAATAAACTTTTTCCTACTTAACTAAATACCCCCCAAAAACTCATATGATTTTGCAGATTTTTTGGGGGGATCATCCGATCTTTAGGAGAACTGTAAGCTATCTAACAAATTAAATTAATATACTGCCTGCCTACGGACATTTGCTTAATACACAACAAATTTACTGCAACAAACCCCTAAAACTGTAACTTAGCAGCTTTTCAATAATTCCAGTTAAGATTCCAATAAGTTATTTAAACATTAATAGAAGTTCATGTAACACTTCTTTCAAGAATAAGGAAGAACTTTAGAAAAGGTTTCCTCAAGAATGAAAATGTTAATTTAATTTTTTTTTTTTTTGCATAGATTAGAACACACATCTGTTTAGGTAAATAAATATTATTTCTAGGAATTCAGAGTTTACTAGGTCTGGCAGAGATCTGCATGCACTCTCTCAGTACCTTTAATTATGCGCCCGGATCGATAGATCCGGGGCGTATATTGTTTTTGTCCTGTCTGTCTGTTTGTCTGTTTGTTTGTTTGTTTGTCTGTTTGTCTGCAAACTTTAACCTTCACTATAACTTTTGAACCATGAAAGATAGAAACTTCATATTTGGTATACATACTCCACTAAGTAAGCTCTTTCAAATGACACCAAGGTCAATGGCCTTTTGACCTTGACTGTGACCTGTATGCTAAAAATAACTAATTATCTGCAAACTTTAACCTTTGCCATAACTTTTGAACCATGAATGATAGAGACTTCGTATTTGGCTTGCATACTCCACTAGTTAAAGCCCTTTCAAATGACATGAAAGTCAATGACCTTGTGACCTTCACTTTGACCTCTATCCTAAAAATAGTTTTTTCGTACCTTTGCCATAACTTTCGAACCATAGAAAATAGAGACTGCATATTTAGTATGCATACTCCACTAATTAATCTCTTTCAAATTACACCAAGGTCAATGACCTTGTGACCTTGAATGTGACCTTCATGCTAAAAATAGTTTTTTCGTACCTTTGCCATAACTTTTGAACCACAAGAGATGTAGAGACTTCATATTTGGTATCCATACTTTTCTAATCAATTTCTTTCAAATGATACCAAGGTCAATGACCTTGACTGTGACATATATGCTAAAAATAGCTATTTTTAAAAAAAAATGGTTGCCGCCGGGCGCATAGTGTTTCACAAACACATCTTGTTTTGATCATTTTTTACTAATTAATTTTAATTCTTTGTCTTTTTTTACCTATTCTGCGAAATATTAAAAAATGTAGTATTCCTAATGTTACTTTCAACACTACACGCAAGTCTCCGGTATCTAAGTTACATTGTTATTTCTATTGACATGCTGTTATGTTATGCAGTCTTTACTGTTTATTCAAAGAGATCCTCGTTCTTGATGCAGACTTTAGACACAGGTTCCACATCAGTGCAGGGCATGCTAATTACCCCTGTGATTATAGGGACCTGAGAACCTTCCTTTAAAACAAACGCCTGACCAAAACAGGTTATAAATGTGGCTGGTTCAAGGTTATTTGCAATTGTTTAGAGTTACATGTAACATGTAAAAAGTTTGAATTCTAAAATTTAAAGTAGCAGTCTAATTATGAATTGATTTTTTAAACATGTTAAAACAACATGACTCATGAACATTTAAATTTTAAACAGAAAGATGAAAATACAATGAGATATGAAGATAACAAACAGTACTGTCAAGTCCATTGACAACAATACGAAGTGGGAGCAGAGCAAACAGAGACCGCTTAATACATAACAGGTGGGATCAGGTGCCATTTAGAAGTAAGCATCCTTTAGATCTGTTGATTGGTAACACCCACTGTATGCTCTATGTACATATAATTTGCTTTACAAATCTTAATAAATTTCAGTTTTCATACCTTGATATTGTCTGAGACCCCCTTGTCACTCAAACATTCAACAAACGTCTCAAAGGCATAGTTCAGGCCGGGAACCAGCAAAGGCACCTGATAAACAGTGAAAGACGTTTAGTATAAAAAAATGTTTAGATTTCATCTGATCATACATTGTAATTTTACAACAAAAAATATAATTTCTTATTAAGATCTTAGTTTGAAATGAAAATTATAGGAGAATACAGACCTCAATGAAGGATTTTTTGAAGGAGTACAGTTTCTCATCGTATAAGAATGTAATCAGTAAACTGGTGGAGGGCTGACTGAGGGACGTGTTCTGTAGATTGACTGTCAGTTTGAAGGTAGGACCGATTCCTTGTACCTGAAAGCAACATGTTCATTCAAATATAAGCATTTATTACATTTTTACCCGTGAAATACTGTAATTTATTCATGGAATAAAAATGATATCCTGTCACAGTGTGAAAGGATATCAAAATGATATCCTGTCACAGTGTGACGAATATCATAAGTGCGGGAAAACTCTCGATTTCCCTTCCCATAACGAAGATTGCTGTAAAAAAATCTTCCTTGATCTAATATAAGATAGATGGAAATAAATAAACCATTCTGACAGCGAATAAACCTGTCAAAATTACCAAAAATATGTTACTAAATCCATGTTTACAATGTTTTCACCTCACTTAGCTATGACGTCTCAACCGCTCAACTATGACGTCACGAATCTATGACTCTTACAAAAAGACAGCTCTAGGCTAAGGAAAAATCAAAGATTTTTTTTTAAATGTAATAAATAGAAAATTCAATGTTTTGTCATTGAATATGGAATTTATTTCACTCGTGAGACAGGATTTTTTTTTATATTTTCACTCGTGCTTCGCATCCGTGAAAATATCAAAAATCCTGTCCCACTCGTGAAATAAATTCCATATTCAACGACAAAACATTGAATATCCTCTATTTATTATTTAGAATTATTTGCATTATATTTTACTAATCCCTTTACTAGTCTCAGAATAATTTTTCTTTATAATTAATTTAAAAGTAAGGATAATTTAAAGAACAGAATTCAATATACGGGATATTTGGAAATAATAGATCTACTTTTGTGGTTTAAGGACAGAAAAACCTGACAATTGCAGGAATCATTCAGAATTAAAACCATGCAGCTATGCATTGTACCTTCGACCTTCAGTCCAATAGCAATGCTGTATAATACATGTATATACGACTATGTACAATACTGACCTGAGCATTGAGTTTGAGTGTCTTGGTGTCACTTGTACTATAACACAAATACTGACCTGAGCATTGAGTTTGAGTGTGTTGGTGTCATTTGTACTATAACACAAATACTGACCTGAGCATTGAGTTTGAGTGTGTTGGTGTCATTTGTACTATAACACAATACAGACCTGAGCATTGAGTTTGAGTGTGTTGGTGTCATTTGTACTATAACACAAATACAGACCTGAGTATTGAGTTTGAATGACTCGGTGTCATTTGTACTATAACACAATACAGACCTGAGCATTGAGTTTGAGTGTGTTGGTGTCATTTGTACTTTAACACAATACAGACCTGAGCATTGAGTTTGAGTGTGTTGGTGTCATTTGTACTATAACACAAAACAGACCTTAGCATTGAGTTTGAGTAGCTCGGTCTCACTTGTACTATAACACAATACAGACCTGAGCATTGAGTTTGAGTGGCTCTGTGTCACTTGTACTATAACACAATACACACCTGAGCATTGAGTTTGAGTGTCTCGGTGTCACTTGTACTATAACACAATACAGACCTGAGCATTGAGTTTGAGTGTGTTGGTGTCATTTGTACTATAACACAATACAGACCTGAGCATTGAGTTTGAGTGTGTTGGTGTCATTTGTACTATAACACAATACAGACCTGAGCATTGAGTTTGAGAGGATTGGTGGAATCAGATGAGATCACTTGTACTATAACACAATACATACCTGAGCATTGAGTTTGAGTGGCTCGGTGGAATCAGATGAGATCACTTGTACTATAACACAATACAGACCTGAGCATTGAGTTTGAGAGGCTCCGTGGGATCAGATGAGATGGGATTCATGCTGTTGTCTAGAGACTTGGCGTACTCCCTCAGTGTGTTCAACCTCAGTAGATACAAATCCCTCTGGAATGTCCTGTGCATGGCTGACAAAGATTGATGATAAAGATCACATTTTGTAGCACATAATGCATATATTTAATTATTTATACAATCCAAAAGACAATTTTGTTATTTTTCATTGAGATTATGTCAAACTAACCCCCCCCCCCCCCCAACTGTGCCATGATCAAAGAAATTCGAATTTTCACTATAAATGGAATTTATTTTAATAAAGTAACATTACAAAGTATATGGTCATCTTGTTTTTCAAAAGCAATTAATATTTGATTTTTTGAAAATTAAAAGCAAGTCCTTTCATGTTACATTCCTTTCTAGATGCAAACATGATTTAGAGAAACTTTATTTTGTACTACATGAGGAAGGTTTCTCCATAGGTGTCTTACTATGCCCCAGTAATGGAGAAATTGTGGGTAGATGAGTTTTTGTTTTGTACATCTGTCTGTTTATCTATTTGTGTTTGTCTACAAAAACTTTAACTAAGCTTGTCTATAATTTTGGACTAGGTATGGCTTTCATATTTCACAGACCTTGTATTCCACGTGACAAGGCCCTTTTTTTGGTACCACCAAATATTATTTCTTGACCTTGGAGTTTGGTCTTCTTTTACAAAAAATACCAAACCTTAACCAGTAAACTTTGACATAACTTTTGAACTGTTGGTGGTTAGGGCTTTCATACTTCATATGTGTATTCATGGTGACGAGACCTTTCAATTGGTATAACTATTTTTGACCTTTCGACCTTGGCCTTAGAGTTTAACCCTCTTGTTAAAAAAAAAACCTTGGCAGTTACTTTTGAACAGTTATAACTATAAGAGCTCTTACATCACAGGTATATTCCTTGGGAAATGACCTTCTAATAAATTTTCATTAATCAATTCAGTACGTAAATTATATGAACAAGGCAGCTGGCTACTTTAATAAGTTTTAAAAATAAATTATATTGAATGTTCACTTTTAATTATCAATTTTCAACTAAAAAATATATGTACTTAAGAGAAGTAATCTTGATACTAGTAGTTTATAATAACAATGAATAAGAATACAGCCAAGTAAGAAAAGGAGTGCTAATTTAAATCCTCAGTGCAAGTAGACCAGGAAGTAAAATACCAGAAAGGTAGATAACACAGGTAGGTGGATCATGTGATACCTGTACAGATCAGAGATAGACATTGTACAAGCATTTGACAAGACAGGTGCCATTATAATCTGCAGGTAATATTCATGGATGAATTTATTTGATAAATCTTGTTTATAACAATAAGATAATTTTTAAATATATAAACTGAATAAAAATGATTATGCATTGTAACTTCATGTACTAGTCTACAAATTAATATTAATGTGAATTGTATACCCATAAAGAAGGATTATTTAAAGCTAAAAAAATTGACTTGTCTCAGGGACTTGTGTTTCAGTACTTTGGAATGCGTGGATTATTCTTATTATCAAAATAACATATTTGAGAAAAAATGCCGGGTAGGACATTGGAAAATCTTTGAGATGATGTGACGAGTATGCTATAATGGAGCATATCATGTGACTGTCTCCACTCTGGGTGGAACAGAGGCATGTATACATATATTGTATACATGTAATATAAAAAGAGAAGTTTACTTTTCAGAAGAAAACACTAAAACCTGATTTGGTTTTTTTTAATGGAAATTATTAAATTAGTTTGGCAAAAATTTTAAACACCCTTCATACATTTGCGACAGGAAAGTTCTTTTTTTTTTGGGGTGGTGTTATACCTTTTTCTTCATGTCAGACGTTCAAACAAAAAGACTCATCTGATTGATTTTGTATGTTTACGTCCCTTTCAAGAATTTTTCACTCTTATAGAAATGCCTCCACTTGCCGATGGAGAGCTACAAATTTTCGACACTCATGCAGGGCCGTATTGAGCAGTGAGGGATCTTTTTCATGCCAGCCAGCACCTACTGTGACAAGGGACCTCTATTAAAGAACTAAATGCGGTATATTGCATATATTTGCCCCCAAAAAAGTCAAATTTTGAAATCTTCCTGAAATGTGCTGACTTAAATAAATCGTATGAGAAATATAAATTTACAGAAAATATCATAGTGTCAAAGCAGTGTATTCACAATTTTTGTTTTTATGAAGTCACAAACCAGTCCAATTTTATATCCTTTTTCAGAAAGAGGACAAAATGAACAAAATTTCAGCAATTTTAGCTTTAAAATTTATAGAGCGCAAGTTTGTTCAGGAACAGTATTAACATATTTCATTTATATCATCATTCTACACATTATATCAAAACATTGATCCTGACTTTTACTCAAAATATCGACGAAATATGTACATTCTTCTGTAAAATTCATAAAAAACTGAAATTTACGTCATGTTTGTGACGTCATTACGTACATATGGCGTCATTACTTATGAAAATATTCAGTGCTTTGAAGTCAGCATATACTCCCCTGTTTACGAACTTCATTAAATATATCTCCATCAAAGTTTGATTTGGGGGGCAAATATTGATTATTACCGAATAAAGCTCTTTATATGCAGTCTCATCCAAAGGAGCGGTCTCCATGTCTCACAGTGAAATTTGAACCCGCGATGTAAGGGTTTACTCGTTACTTTGCAACTCTGGAGTAAGACGTTCTAACCACTGCGCCATGCAGGCAACATTGATGATATCAACTTATTCTAAATTTTTGTTCTCATTAAATAAAATATGTATTCAAGATTTACAATTTTTATTCCAAACATTTATTTTAAATTTAATGCATTAAATACTATAAATTAACAAGAAATATATTGTTTACTTATAAGAAAATATATCTAAGCACCTGTGAAAAGGTGAATACATGTAATTAAATTTTTTTTAACTTTGAAAACTAGAAATTTGAGTCATTTCCCTTTTCAATGATTCATGCGGTAGATTTTGTCCTGATGCAGCAATGCCTGAGAAATGAGAAATTATTGATCACTGGTAATTTTTTTTGGCACTGTTTATTTTATTGAAGTGATATCAAAATGTTTTATGAAATGCCTTTTTTTTTTCCATGCTAGGTTTATTAAATCATGGACCCTCGTACCAGTGCCCAGGATGTGATGCGATGTGACCTGTGTGAGACCGCTGTGGTACAGATGCACTGTGATACATGTCTTGTCAACCTGTGTACAGCTTGTGTAGGAGAACACATGATTTCTGATGAATCCAAGGACCACAAAGTCGTCAAATTTCAGGCCAGGAAATCCACCCCTCTCTACCCTTCATGTATTTTGCATTACAATCAATGTATATTGTACTGTAAACAATGTGAACTTTCTGTTTGTTCAGAGTGCCTTACTTCTGATCAACATCTGGGTCATAAATTTTCTGACATCTTAAATGTTGTAAATGAAAAAAAGGATAAAATTATCAAAGAACAAAGTGAATTACGTGAGACAATTTATCCCACCTACCAGGACATTGCCTCTGATGTACAAAACAGAATGAGTCAGTTAGAAAAAGAATATGGAGATCTCTCAACAGCCATAACAAAACATGGAGAGGACTGGCACAGAGAAATTGACAAACTTGTCCAGAAACTTAAAGCTGAAGTTGATGAGATGAAAAACACACAGTTACAAACTCTACAGAAACAACTGGATGAAATAAACAAGACAATGTCTGGCATCAAGGATGAAATCAATACATCCTGTACTGTTGTAGAGTCTAATGAAGTTTCAAAGCTTTTTAATTTAAAATCTGTTAATATAGAAAGATATAAAAATCTACCTGAAAAAATTCTTCCATCTTTACCAAAATTTACACAAGGCAGAATCCAAGGAGGAGATATAAGTAATCTGTTTGGAATCTTATCATCAAGTTCATTAACTTCAGATAAACATGGCTACAGCATGAAGACAACACAGAAATCACCAGAAGCTGGATCCTCTCCTCCAGTCAAACAGCTGCTTGATGAACCAGAGACTGCCTCCACCACAGACACTGGGTATGGACAACTTTACAATGTGGCCTGTGTGAGTGATGAAGAAATCTGGGCGAGTGGAAATGGCAGCACCATGAAACTCTACAGCATCAATCAGGGATCACCACTCAAGTCAATCCGAACCAAGTCAAGGTACGAACCATCTGACATAGCAGTGACAAAAAGTGGAGATCTAGTTTATACTGATTACAGAGATAGAACTGTGAACATTGTGAAGAATGAGAAGATAGAGGAGGTGATCAGATTACAGAACTGGAAACCTCGCGGTGTCTGCAGTACCTCCTCTGGTGACCTTCTGGTTATCATGATCAGTGATGATAACAAACAAACAAAAGTTGTCTGTTACTCTGGCTCCACAGAGAAACAAACCATTCAGTTTGATGATCAAGATAAACCTCTTTATTCATTTAATTCTGATTACATAACTGAGAACAGGAACCTGGATATCTGTGTGTCTGACTTTGGAGCTAAAGTAGTAGTGGTGGTCAATCAGGCTGGGAAACTGAGATTCAGGTACACCGGACATACTCCTACTCCAAAGAACCTACCATTCTATCCACGAGGAATCACCACAAACAGTCAGAGTCACATCCTTACAGCTGATCGTAACGATGACTGTGTTCACATCATAGACCAGGATGGACAGTTCCTCCGTTACATAAACTGTGGATTAAATAATCCAATAGGACTTTGTACAGATACAAATGACAATCTGTTTGTTGCTGAAAATCACGAAGGGAAAGTGAAAAAAATAAAACTTTTGCAATGAAAAAGTATAACTATGGATAAAACTTTTTACTGAGATTCTAACAATCAAACAGTACATGAAAATCTTGAAGACACCCAGGTGTATTTATTTAAAATACATGGTTACTGTCTTGAAATATAAGCGATATTTGGGCGAGGGTAAGAAAACGTGATAGAGGGCGAGGCTTGCCGAGCCCTCTTACGTTTTCGACCCGAGCCCCAAATATCACTAATATTTCAAGACTGTGAGTTTCCATGTATTTTGTTTATCCTGCAACATATTCTATACATTTGAACATCCAAAACTAGCTATTTTTTGACATATTTAGGCACATCTCTGCAGTGATAACTATGACGCCATGGCGTAAACATTGCAATATATATGACGTCACAATGCTTTTAGAGCGTCGGAATACATGCACGAGGCTTTATTAGGGCAGTGACCGGATAAAGCTTTGGTTTATTAGGTTACCTTTATTAGGTCAATGCAAGGGGTAGTTGCAGGATACAGTACGTGATGTCAATGTTGACAAGAGAAATATTTATGTAAGTTTAAACTGTCACAATAAATGAAGAACGTAGATAGTTAAGTACATGTAAGAAACAAACACTCTCACAGTATTGCCTTAGCAATACAAGTCCCATAACAGCAGGTGTAATCTAGTTCCCAATTAAAATTGAAAAATGCCATAATTCCAAAAATAATATTTGAAGTGGAACAAAATGCACACTTGATACATAAGTCATCAAGGTAAAATCACATACCAGAAATCGGCTCAATATTTGCAAGCATGTGGGAAAAAATGCTGAAAACCCTTTAAAATTGAACGGTTGTAATAATACAGTGTGCTGTCAAAATCAATGAAGCAAAATGAAAATGTAACTCATCAGGATAAACTCACTTATCAAACATCAGCTCAATATCGCAAGCATTTAGTGAAAAGGTGCAAACACCAATTTAAGTGGGACAGACAGACAGCTTCAGAGGAAAGGTAAAGTCCCCTCTGGTTTCACTGATAATAGACTAATTAGTCTAGGTTTTATGGAGGACCATGGGATTTTATATCACAGTTTCAATCTTTGTGTTCCAACATGTGATACTAAATAAACAAATACTTCAAATTTGTAAACATGGAAGATGAAGGAAGAATTCAAAATCATTAAGGTTGATAAAACCAATGTAATAAGAGATAATACTATAGAAGTCTTAATGTGTTTCCAGTATAAAAGAATTCCTTAAATTTAACTAGCAATTGCAATCATATTTCAAGCACACATATGCAACACTGTGTCCAGAAGTAAAGTATCTTAAAGTTTACTGATAATAAAAGACAAACCACTGACATGTTTGTAAAACATTGATGCCACATCTGGCATATTTATCAAAAGTACATTTATGTTAAACTCAATCAGAGTCAAAAATGCTGAAACCCAAAGAAAGTCCTTGTCACAAGGATTATAGACAACACAAATGTAATTTAGAACCCCTACCAACAAATGTTCAAAAGTTATGGCCAAAATTAAAGTGTTTTTTTTTCAAAAAAAGGTCAAACCAGAAATTCAAGTTATACATTTTTGGTACTCAAAGAAAGGTCTTGTCATGAAATACACACAAATGAAAAAATGAAAAGCCTACTAAAAACTGTTAAAAAGTTATGGTCAATGTTTAAATTCTATACCGGTAGATCAAACTCCAAGGTCAAGGTTATGATGACAAAAATGTGAGTACCCTCCAAAAAAGTTTTGTCATAAGGAATATAAATGAAAATGACTTTGAATAATTTGTTTTGCTTATAAATAGTAAATGTCTATCTTCTCAAAATTATGTGATGGGAAAATTTGGTGTTTACCCTGTTACTGAGTGCTCTCTCTCTCCCTCATGGTCTTTTATTCTGAGTGATACATACTGACAGCACTCTCTCTCTCCCTCATGGTCCTTTATTCTGAGTGATACATACTGACAGCACTGTCTCTCTCCCTCATGGTCTGGTCCACAAACAGCTTGGTTTTCTTCGGGACGTTGAGGCGAGAGTTCTGAGCGGCGGGGGGACCTCCAGACAAATCCTTCTCCTCAAACGTGGCATTCCTCTTCAGAATCTTAATCATCAATCCTCCACCTACAGGAATAGAGTCAAACAAAAAAGTCAAAACTTGACGTCAGAACAGAAAAAAATGAATGTTATGTTTTTCAAGCAGAGTTAACATTCCATGGAACATTTTAAGAAGCTAGCCTGATGAGTGAAGTCTCATTAAGAGAAAAATTAATACTAAATCAAAATATTTAATGATGTACCTCTTGACTCGGTACTGTTGTATTTATTATATTGGACACTTTAGTAAATACATTTTTAATCTAAAGTTATTTTAATAAAAGCAGGATGAGTTTTTTTTAAGAGTGAACTTTTTACAGTGTTGCCATAGGAGCTTGCAGTGCAAATGGTTATTTTGCCCCACTCATTACACGTGCTAATACAAACACAGCTTTGATTCTTAAAAGCTATGTACCTTTCAGGGTCATTATGGGAGTTCCCTCCTCCCGGCCAAACTGTCCGAACTTGAGCCCGGTGACGACGTCGTCCGTCTTGATGACGTTGACGAGGTACTTCTCCTTGTAGATGTGGACCTGACAGTTATTGAGGGCCACTATCACCGCCTTAAAGTCCTTTAGTCTTGTAGTCTATCACCTCCATAGTCGTCATACTCTCCAGTGGATTTTTAACTATTTCCAGTTTTAGGGCTGGGGATTACATGCTGGGTCATAACCTATATACCATTTTGTGTGTCATGTTTCAAGGAATAAGATAGTATATATGGCTAAGTGTAAAGCACCTTTTTTAAAAGAATTTCATTTTCAGGAAGGGCGGGGGGGGGGGCTCTACAAAATGGTCCTTTTATTTTTAAAACATATCCTTCTTCCATCTAAAATTTAAATTTGTATAAAAACTTTCACGTTAAAAAATGTATTTATAAATATGTATTGTTATGGGTCAGAATAACCCTAAATGCCAGCAAAGATCAATCACACAGTTTAAACTTAACAATAATTTATTTACAGTAATATACAAATCATTAAGTACAAACTTAGCAAAAATCTAAAAATACATACATCAGAGTGTCCGTTGCTGCACACAATGTCCCAGTGAAATTATATCCCAGTAATACCTCAATGATGCTTATACGACAATCTTTTATGCATCGAATTGACAGGGTATTTATACAGTATTATAAATCTAGAATATTCTAGAAATTGTAAGTACATGATATTACTGGAAAGTTCTGGACATACACAAAGTTCAGGAATGTTCTAGAAACAATGACCGAACATGTTGACCACTCTGGAATGTTCAAGAAACTTAATGTTACTAATAATAGACATGATGAAACAACACAAATACAACACACCTCACAACACCTCCCCCCTTAAAAAGTTTGAATGTCAATGAAAAACTTAAATTGTAAAACATATGTACATTAATACAAAAATCTAATTTGTTTATGATACTCTGGACAAGGCATCTGCAATAACATTGTCTTTGCCCTTGATATGCTTAATTGTTATGTTGTATTCTTGTAACAGCAAACTCCATCTAGTCAGTCTTTGATTCTTGTTTGACAATTTATGCAAAAATGTCAGGGGGTTGTGATCCGTATATACAAGAATTGGATGCAAAGTAACATTCAAATAAACATCAAAATGCTGTAAGGCTAACAACAAAGCAAGGCATTCCTTTTCAATGGTGGAATAGTTTTGTTGACATTTTGTAAGTTTCTTTGAAAAATAAGAAACAACTCTATCTACATTATCACTATGTTCTTGAAACAAAGCTGCCCCGATTCCAACATCACTAGCATCAACAGTAAGCTTAAATTGCTTAGAAAAATCTGGAGTTGACAGAACTGGGTTGCTCATAAGGACAGATTTGATTTTATGAAAGGATTTTTCACAGTCCTTTGTCCATTCAAAGTTAACCCTCTTTTGTAAAAGATTTGTAAGTGGACTAACTACTGAGGAAAAATTTGGACAAAATTTTCTGTAAAACCCAGCCATGCCCAAAAACCTCATTAACTCTTTCTTGTTTGTAGGAATCGGGAACTTTGCAATAGCTTCCACTTTAGCCATTATGGGTGTAACATAACCTTGACCTACTTTATGACCTAAATACTCTACATAGGCATGACAAAATTCGCTCTTCTCAAGGTTCACAGTTAAGTTTGCTTTAGCTAAAATGTCAAATAAAGCACGCATGATTCGGAGATGTTCGTCCCATGTGTCACTGTATATGATGACATCATCAATGTAGGCCTCGCATCCCTCAAGGTCTTGAAGAAGGGAGTGAATCATCCTTTGGAATGTAGCCGGTGCGTTTTTCATGCCAAAAGGCATTACTTTATACTGGTAAAGTCCATCTGGTGTAGCAAAAGCAGATATTTCTTTTGCTCTTTCTGTTAACGGCACTTGCCAGTAGCCTTTCAACAGGTCAAATTTACTGACAAATTTGGCTTTTCCAATGCTGTCAATACAGTCATCAATTCTAGGTATTGGATATGAATCAGTTTTGGTAACATAATTCACCTTTCTAAAGTCTGTACATAATCGGTACGAACCGTCCTGTTTTGGTACAAGAATACACGGTGAGCTCCAATCACTTTTACTAGGTTCAACAATGTCATTGTCCAACATGTACTGCACTTCCCTTCTTAGGTACTGCAATTTTATTGGATTCAGACGGTACGGATGTTGTTTGATAGGCAGAGCGTCGCCAACTATAACATCATGACAAGCTGCATTAGTTTTCTTTGGAACATCCGAGAAGATTTGATGATACTCATTCATCAAGTTTTTAACTTGTTCTTTTTGGTGAATGTTCAAATGTCCAAGTTTGGCATCAAAATCCGCCAAAATTTCTGAGTTTTTTCAAGCGGACACTCTGATTACAATCTTTCTCATTCATCTCTACACTCGTATCACTCTCAATACAATTTTGAACAGTCTTAGCGTTGGCTAAAGTGGAAACTGGTTTTACAGAATTTCGGTCACACCTTTCAAAATACTCTTTTAACATGTTAATGTGACAAACCCGTTTCTCTTTACGTCGACCTGGTGTCTTAACTACATAGTTTACATCACTAATCTTGCTTTCAATTTCATAAGGGCCATGAAATCTGGCCTGTAAAGGATGACCAGGAATAGGTAAAAATACAAGAACCTTATCACCTGGCTTAAACACCCTATTTCTGGCATCTTTGTCATACCACATTTTCATTTTCATCTGAGAATTCTTCAAATTTTCTTGTGCTAATTTACAAGCATTGTAAAGTTTTTCTTTGAAATCAGACACATAATCTAAAAGATTAAGATCACTAGTCTCAGTCAGCCACTTTTCCTTCAACAATTTCAAAGGACCTCTAACTGTATGACCAAACACCAATTCAAAAGGACTGAACCCAAGAGACTCCTGGACTGCTTCTTGTGCAGCAAATAGTACAAGATGAACCCCATCATCCCAGTCTTTCTCATACTGATAACAATAGGTCTTCAGCATTGTTTTTAAGGTCTGGTGAAAACGTTCTAGCGCCCCCTGGGACTCAGGATGATAAGCAGTTGATCTATATTGCCTTATACCCAACTCATGCATGACTTGCTGGAACAACCCCGACATAAAATTTGAGCCTTGATCCGACTGAATTGCCTTTGGTGCTCCTACAAAACTGAAGAACTTGGTTAGGGCCTTAACTATGCTCTTTGCCTTTATATTCCTAAGAGGTATGGCTTCAGGGAATCGAGTGGATGTACACATAATGGTAAGTAAATACTGGTTCCCAGATCTGGTCCTAGGCAAAGGTCCTACACAATCCACCAACACTCGACTAAACGGTTCTTCAAAAGCTGGAATTGGTTGGAGAGGGGCGGATGGTATCTTCTGATTCGGTTTACCTACCATCTGACAGACATGACACGACTTACAAAACTCAGAAACATCCTTCCTTAGCTTAGGCCAATAAAAATGACTCAAAATCCTATTATAAGTCTTATTGACACCTAAATGACCTGCCATAGGTGTATCGTGAGCTAAACTCATCACATCTCGACGATAAGCAGCTGGGACCACTATCTGGTGAACAACACGCCACACTTCATCTGGAGAAGCGTCAGGTGGTCGCCATTTTCGCATAAGGATGCCATCTTTTATATAGAAGCATTCTCCAACTTTAGTAGCCTCTTCTGGTGGAAGTGCCCTCTTACTAAGTTGAAGGATATCTGGGTCTTTATGTTGTTCAGAGAGTAAACGTTCTCGGCTGAGGATGTCCTTGCCTTGGTTAACTAGTGGATGCAACTCATCATCCTCACCACCAAATTTTGGTAAAAGTTCTTTCTTCTCTTGCTTCTTGATATTGTGTGGTTCCATGCTTGTTTGAGTGCCATCAAGGTCAGATAAGAAAGTGTCATTCAAATCAATATCAACAGAGGAATCTGTCTCGTCAAAGGCTTGAGTATGGTCTGCCTCCATTTCTCGTCTTCTGGCCATCGCTCTAGTAACAGCACAGGCTGGATAAATGTCATCATCTTCATCATCGCACATGACATTGGAAGTGATTTTCTCACAAACTATAGGATCAGGTACAACCTTCCCACCAGCTAAATCGTTGCCTAACAACAAAGAAATGCCTGGAACGGGAAGAGTAGGTCGAACACCTACGATAACAGGTCCAGTAACTAAATCTGACTTCAAACTAATTCTATGCAGGGGAACATCAATGACGCCTAGCTCCACACCCTGTAATAAAACTGACCCACCAGTAGAAGTCTGCTCAGACAAAGGAAGCACGCCCTCTAACAATAACGTCTGTGCAGCACCAGTATCTCTCAAAATCTGGACAGGTTTTATTTCGCTAGAGTCACCGAGTGAAACAAATCCCTGAGACATAAAGGGCTTATAATCCTCCATAGAATCAATAGAACTGGACTGTGAACCCTGGACATCAGGAGTGTCAGAACAAATCGAAACTAAGGCTTCTCTATCACCTCTAACTGCCGCACAAGCATGTGGTTGAGTTTTATCAAAGTCATTTTTTCTCTTAATTTTAAAGCATTCACTGATCAGATGACCTTTTTTCTTACAATAACTACAAGTAGGAAGCGACCCTATTCCAGAGGATCCTTCAAAACGTCCTGGACCGGACTTAGAACCACCTTGGGATGGAGACTGGGAACTTGTGAAAGACTGAGACCCTGAACCACTCTTTTTATATGTGTCTGAATTGGTAGAATTACTGCTAGTCTGAGATCTTGATACAAAATTCTTTTTATGAGACAGAGCATAAGTATCAGATATGACTGCTGCCTCTTCAAGAGTTTTCACATTCTTATCTTCTAAATGTGTTTTCAAATCTTGAGGAACACATTCCTTAAACTCTTCTACCAGGATGACTTGGCGCAAATTAGCAAAAGTTTTATCAAGTTTCTTAGATCTAAACCAGTGATCGAATAAATCTTCTTTCTCTCGTGAAAATTCAACAAATGTTTGATTATCAAACTTTCTATACTTTCTGAACTTTTGTCTATACGCTTCAGGTACTAATTCATATGCTTTTAATATTGCTGCTTTGACCTTCTCATAGTCTAAACTTTCAGCTACCCCTAGTGCAGAGTATACCTCAGCTGCTTTGCCAACCAGT